GTTCAGTTATTATTAAGGAACTGAAGTTCTTATGGTAAGTTAGCAGATTCCTGAGAGAGAATCCTACTATTTAACAGTATCAGTATCTGTAACAGTTCCATTAATGTCTCATTTTTGTTGTTATTATTAAGCCAATTTTCAGTGGTATGTGATGAATCACTATGCTAATTGCTAGTATGGTGAACATTATACACATCCCAGGAAGGTCATATATGTCCTATAATATTTTATTTATAGTGCAAACAAAAAAGCTTTTAAATTCCTGAGTGGTGAAATTATCTGCCATTTTTTGAGAAATATTCAAAATTTGTAAAAGACATTATTAATTTGTGTATTAATCATTATTAATCATTTTAAAGTGTAAAATTATCAAGTCATTTACCTCAGATAATATCCTTGAAAGATTGTCCTACATGTCCAGATGTTGTTCCTGGTGTAAATAATCAGGTAAGGCAAATGGGTGATTCGCTCAATGATTTTTGCATGTGGCATTGTTGCTTGACCAGTAGGTGTCGCAGGTGTAGCACCAAAGCAGTGTGTTACAAGCTGACTCAGGCTTCCTGAATGGGCTCCTGTGATAGAACTCACCCAGGCAAACCTCTGAGCACTAGGTAGGGTTGCTGGGACAACAACAGATTATATACAAACATGAGCTAGAAGCACTCAGGCACAGTAACATGCCTGGCAGGGCCCACCTGTCTGCCTGGTGCTACAGGGCTGGCACTGAGAAGGTGCTGCACACAGATGGTAGCAGCAGTTGTGGGCAGGATTGGGGCACCAGACAGGCCTCAGGAGGGGTGTCAGAAGCTGGCCGGTAGGACTGCTCTTGAGGATGGTGGCCCAGGGTGTCTCAAAACTGGCAGCAGTTACACCGAACAATTTTAAAAGTAAAGCAACAGTCTGTTGTTAATCTGTCACCCGATCTGGCCGCTACAAGCATGGACCTAGAAAGGTGCCTAGCGAGGACATCTTTCTCTCTGATGCAGAACATGTGTGCTTCTGGCATTGGTTACAAAAACTGCTGCTGTGTGAGCTTCCTGGCCTATAGGGTCCCCACATGGCCACTGTATGCAGGCTGTTACCTGAGCAGTGTATCCTAATAAAGCTTATCTGGGGATCAGGGGGAAAAGCCAACCACTACATAAAACATAGTAGTCAGGTCTTTAATCCTAGCATTCATGAGGCAGAGATTTATTTGGATTTCTGTGAGTTCAAGGCCACACTGGAAACAGAGTCAGGCATGGTGGCACATGCCTTTAATCCCAGTGCTAGTTAACCATAGAATCTGGAGGTCTGTACATACAGACAGGAAGAGATAGAGCTGGGTGGAAAGAGGAAGTGATGAAGCTGAGAGGAGAAACAAAGTAAGATGGCAGGGCACAGAAAGGTATATAGGCATGAGTACACAGGAAGTAGCTCTCTCTGGAGGCTGAGGAGTTGGTAAGGTGAGGTTGGCTGTAGCTTCTTCAGTTGCTCTAATCTCTCAGTTTTCACCCCTCTGGCTCCAGGATTTTTATTAATAGGAACTTTTATGATTCGTGTTACACTTAAATACAAAAACAAAAAAAAAATCACAAAGAACTAATTTCCAAAATAAATAATAAAATGAGAGAGATGATATTCTAGCAAAAAATTAATACTAGATATAAACTTGAATTCCAGGGAAATTTTGGAGTAAAATGCTTGTTACACCAGAAGAAAAACATTACCCTCTAAGGACAAAAAAACTCAACTTATTAGCAAATATATTATTTTTAAAAAATTATTTAATAAAATATTTAGCACCAGAGAGATCACTCAATGAAGAGCACTTATTGCTCTTGCAGAGAAAACAAAATAAGATCCCAGGACCCTTGTTGTGGTTCACAACCAGAATTAACTGCAGTCCCAGGAAATCCAGTGCTCTCTTCTAAACACCACAGCCTCAATGCATAAACATGTTGCACATATATACATGCAGGCAAAATATGCATACCTGTAAACTAAATAAATCTAAAATTTAAAAAATTTTTAGAAGATTTGTTTATTATGCATAGTGTTCTGCCTGCATGTATCCCTGCAGGCCAGAAGAGGGCACCAGAGATGGTTGTGAGCCACCATGTGGTTGCTGGGAATTGAACTCAAGACCTTTGGAAGAGCAACCAGTGCTCTTAACCTCTGAGCCATCTCTCCAGCCCCCTAAAATTAAAATTTAAATAAAATTTAAAATTAAAATGTAACACCTGCACTAGCAGACATTTAGGAAGAGATAAAGAACAACAAGAAAATACAGACCCTCCTCTGTCTACTCTAACACTGGACACAACATCCAGATAGAACATCAGTAAGAAAGCAACAGACACAAGCAGCACCGCAGACTAAATGCACTAAAACACTGAGCATCCTTCCAACCCACAGTGCACCATCAGGACTCTCCAAGACACTTGTTGTCACAGAGTACAACTCAGCAGGATGAAGATAAGCTTATATCAAGAATAAGCCCAGACCACATTTGAATGAAACTCAAATTCAATAAATGAAAGGAAACATGGGAACTGTTAAGGTTCATGGGACTAAAACAGCACATTTTGAACAGCCAGCAGGTCAGGAAAGGAATCAAAAGATATCCAAGTCAGTCATGAGGGGAGCCATCAAGAGAGGGTGAGGAAAAATGGCAATGCTGGGAGGGGAAATTCACTCAAAACATAATATATAAAGGTACAATATTTTCAAACACTTAAAAATTTAAACCCAAGGCTGGGTGTGGTAGCTCACACCAGCTAATTGCAGAGCTGGGGGAACCAGAGTCAGGAGGATTTCCATGAGGTCCAGAACAGACTGATCTACATAAGCACCTTCAGGACAGCCAGGACTACTAAGGCAAAGCCTGTCTCAAAACAGCAGCAGACATGAGTAAACCAATAAGCACAAGGAAATGATAACAGTAAAAAAAATTAAAGAACCAGATGTAGAAAATTATAAACTAAAACTGGGCTGTGGCTTGTTGGTAGAGTATATATTTATAATACTAGAGGTTGTGTTGTCAATCCCTAATACCAAAAATACGGGGAAATCAAATGTTCTTACTGAGCTTTCCTTCTTCTGAATTAGACCACTGTGCAGATACCTACGTGCAGATCTAACAAGCTCTACTAGTGCAAACTATTTAATAAATGTTTGTGTTTAGGACAAGACAGGAATGAGCCCATAAAAATCCATTTCAGTATAAAATATCCTGGACACCAATAGCTGCATGCTTGGTAGGTCCACTCCACATGTTTACCTTTAATTAGAATGGTGGTGGAGTCACATGACATCCATTTCAGAGATATATTCTGAGGTCCAGACAGAAAGGCAGCCATGTGGTGACTGGAGGCTGGGGGCAGTAGAGTCAACAAAAATATCCCACTCATTTCTGTCTCCATGCCAAATTTCCACATTTATGGGTGCACCACAACACACAAATAGACTAACTTTCTAATGACTCAGGCAGGCACAACTTTCTTGAGGAACAAATGAACAAAACTTTCCAGGAGAAACACACTTTGTTATGAGTTATACAGATTTTAAACCATGTCCAACGAAAAACTCACAAATCCTGAGGTAAGAGCTTACAGCATAATCCTAAGGTACAGAAAAAGATTTTAGTGGGTCTTACAGCTGCCTCAAGCAGGACTCCAGCTCCTGAGAGAGAGGCAAGAGAAGAAGAGCAGATGTCTGCTTGGGTGCAGCAGGCTGCCCACGTTGGAGAGTAAAAGCAGCAGCTGAAGAATAGGACTCTAAAATTTGGACTCACAGACAAGTGATGAGCAGATGCTGTAGGAGACAGCCTGTGTGTTCTGAGCAAGCCACAGCTGGCTTCTCTGTTAGACTCACAGACAAGTGATGAGCAGATGCTGTAGGAGACAGCCTGTGTGTTCTGAGCAAGCCACAGCTGGCTTCTCTGTCTCGCAGGGCAGAGGGAAACAACAGCTGCAGACTCTGCAGGGAGGGGCAGGAGCCTCTCAGTCTCTGACTCATCAATTGCAACAAGCATATGGACAGGACAGTCTAGGCAGAGAGTACAGACAGAAACAAGCCAGTTTGGGAATAAAGAAGAAAGAATAGAGAGGGGAGAATTCTTTTTCCTTCCCCTGATCACTCAGTCCCTGGTAAAAGACATCTGGTGACAGGTGATGATGTAACTGCCTCAGGGCCTGAGACAAGCTGCTCTGCAACAGGAACGAGTACACCTTTAGGCAGTTTATTACAAAAAGATGAGGAAATAGGAGGAAGTAGCTGGTGAGAAACAGAGTTTCCCATGACAGATAAAATATGGAAACACCAAGGCCAGAGGGGAACACAACTTGCTAGAGACTTTTATCTGGTTGCTGCATTACCAGATTTTTATGAGAGATGGAAAAGTTATTGCCTACACCCAGATGGACTGGTAAATGTCGAGGAGTAGCCGATGACCCTGAAGGCAAAGGGAAGAGAAGCAAATAACAGAGTTCAGGCACCTCTGAGCATGATGGAAAGGATTACAGGAGTCATCCTCTGAGAGACGAAGAGCTCATTTTATTTTGCCAGAGGTAAGGTATGTGAGGGTTCTTAAGGTTACCTGTGGGAAGTGTTCATTGGTCAGCACCTAATTATCCTACAGGCAGGAAGAAAAGGAGGGGGCTTTGTGCTGAGTCATACAACATTTGCAGGGCACTGGGCAGTCATTCTCCAAATAAGGCCAGCCATCTGAGGTTAGAGACACTCTTCAGATAGGGTTAGGTGGAGAAGGGGAGCTCTGCTGAGAAAGGGCGGCCTCCTTTTTGCACTGAGCTCAGAGAACTTTCAGGATGTGGTGAACTGCAACCTTAAAGGCAGGATTCTCCAACAGGGCAGCTCCCCTCCCCATGGAGCTGTTCCAGCACAACCATGTGAGAGGGAGTATCCTGAATCCAAAGGCCACACCCTATGTTACCTGGCCCTTGAGATAGGCTCTGCAGATCTACCCATAAGACCAGCTGCAGCCTCCAGAAGGAGATGCCATGATGTTTACTTTCACAGCCCTGCTCTGTCTGGGTGAGATGTGAAGATAGGGAGGGAACACTGGGGTCTAGGAATGACCCTGTCCCACAACCTAAAAGCTTCTTTTTACAGGAGACAGAAACTTATTTTATTTGACTAATATTGTTTATGTATAAATTTCAGTTTATATGTGAAATACTATATTGAATTTGAACTCTACCTCTAAAATAGAAACTTTAAAAAATTAAAATATGGTTATATTGCCTCCATCCACTTTCCTCCATATAATCATTCTCATATTTCTCTCCAACCTCTCTAATTCCTATCCTTTTCTTTAAATCTTTTATATGTATGCATAAATATGCAAATGCTGAATTCATTTAGTGTTCTTTGTACATGATTTCAGTCCTCAGCATTTGGTATTGAATGAGGAACCAGAGGCTATGCCTGGTGAACATTGATTCTCCCTCTCTCAGCATTCCTTAGTTGCCTATTGTCTTTTCTCTAGGTATGGGGTCTTATAAAATTTCCTCCTTACATGTTAGCATGTCTACTGCTGTTGCCCTTGTTCTGGTCTTGTTCAGGCAGACATGTTGTGGAGGTGTCTTTGGTGTTGGTTTTCTGTTATTTCTCTTAGATACACTCTCACAGAAGGTATCCAGGTCTTAGGGCGCTTACAATCCTGCCTCCTTTTCTGCAATGTTCCCTCAGACTTAGGCATAGGAATTGCATTGCAGATGAATCAGCTGGTTCTGGGCACCCCAAGTCAGTCTTTCTCTACAATTGGACCAGTTGCAAGGTTTTCTGGAATAGTCTCTGTCTCTGGTAAAAGAAGCTTTTATAATGAGGGGTGAGAATTACACTTATTTGACCAGAGTTTTAAAATTAAAACCAAGAAAAATAAAGTATATTGTTGACACAATTTAGTAGGTTCAGAGGGAATATCTTTTCGTGAAGTTGTAAGATAATGAATATCTTATAGAATGGTAATATATTTTCCTGAAGAAATTACACACACAAAAAAAATCCACTCTGCATAGGGCAACCAATAATGGAGCTCATGTCCGAGAGAAACTAATTCTCTTTCTTCTAGTGGGCATTCATTGTCTGTGGTTCCCTGTCTAAATATTGAAAATTTCTTCCTTCCACATTAATATTTTCACTGATACTGCATTGTCTGGTTTATTTATTTCTTCCTCCATTTCTAAGAGAAGCTGTTTCACTGGAGACTTCCTGGTATATTCTTATTCTAACATTTTATATGTATCTGCTTCTGTGATGTTCTCTGGGCCATAAATGAAGAAATTGTGATACAAATATATCTGCTGAGGTTGGGAACTTTGTAAACTGTGAGTGGGACACATTGTATTCAGTTTTGCACCCTCCAGTGAGTCCACCACATTCCTAGAGTTCTACTCACATAGTCATAGAGAAAACCTTGGTTAAAATCAGTGGGAAATAACAAAACAAATAGACACAGATGAGGGAATGGATTTATAGTGATGAGATGGGAGTTACTTTGGATAGTAGGGAGATAAGAGAGGGTAGGTTAGGGACAATAAGACAATGTGTTATATACATATAGGACGTTGTCAAAGAACACATACATTTAAGGAAAAAGTCAGTAACTTAGAAGGTTGAATTTGCTCTGGAAACAGTTCTCTGAATGGAGCTAACTACTTTGTTTCAGTCAAGTTCTTGAAAAGAACATCATGGTTTCACAGTTTCACATGACTTTGAAGTCCATGTGATAATGTTTAGTAAGTTGATCTATGAGGAAGTAGATTTGTTCTGAAAATGATATTCCCTAGAGACAAAATCTCTGCTTCCATATGAATATCAATAATGATTGATGCCTTATCTAAAACAAATAGGAAATATAAATGTGGCCAAGATCCTGACATGTTCCTGTGTTGCTATTAAAATTCATGCAAAATCTAGGCTAATAGAAAAAATTCATAGAGAAGACTGTTTCCTCCCCATACATCCAGCCTGACTTCCTTTTTTTTAAGTATGCCCCAGTGGATTCTATAAATTCTCATTGTGGTTAACTGCAAGTGTGCTTTTTATCATGTACTGTTCACATTTTCCTCATCTAGTTCTTAGTTCCTTGAGAGGCTTTTAATCACCCAAGAGGAGTGTGAACAGCTTTTGGGGAAAGTTTAAGTGCTTCACATTTCAATTTAGAGAAGTTAAACTTCCACACACTCCAAGTCATGGTCCTCTAGCCAGAGTTACAACCTGGTACCCATGGAAACTGTATTACTAATCCCCACCAATCTTAACTCCACCACTGTTTGAGTGCTCCAAACCTGAGACAAGATAGACTATGCATCTATGAATGACTCCTAGCTGAATGTCTTGCTCAGCCCTTATCAGAGAAGCTTCCTCCTACAACAGATGGTAGCTAATGCAGAGACCCACATCTGAACAATGTACAGGAAGAGACCTTGGAACACTGAGTCCTAATGGGATGTCTTCATTAAATCCTTCCACTCTGGGCCCAGCAAATTGTGAGGAAGAGAGTTTGGAGGGTTTATAAGAGCCAGAGTAGATGGATGAGATGATGGAAAAATGTCTTCCAGACAGAACAGGCTGATACAAACATGGACTCAAAGAGACTATAACAGCATGTACAGGACCATCGCAGGTCTAAGCTGGATAGTGTTCCAGTGCTGAGGGTATGGGGAAATGAGACCATCCCCAACTTAGAAGCTGTCTCCAATTGATAAATAGTTGCAAAAAAAAATTAGAATTTTTTCAACAAAGTCACACTGATATACAAACCATACTTAAAGGCAGGCCACATGCCTAGCAGTAGATGGCCAAGACAAAATCAACTGAGTGATATTTTTGCAGGGTTTTTTATTCATAGTGCTAGTCTTGATATTTTTAAATTTATTCTTCTCTCATATATTACACTCTATTCTCAGTTTTCTCTTCCTCCTCTCCTCCCAGTCCTCCCTCAAACCCCTAAATCCCAGTACCATTCTTCATTATCGTTAGAAAAGAGTAGGTCTCTCAGAGTTATCAACCAAACAAGGCATATCAAGTTAAAATAAAACTAGGCCCCCCTCTTATTAAAAAATGAGCTTCTGACTTGCGTTGCATGGGACGTCAGCAGGTCACCTTACCCATCATGGAGATGCCTGCCCAGGCCACACAGGTGCTCTGTCTTATGTTGGTGAGTGCCCCCCAGGCATTACCCATTTCTGGATACTCATTTTCATACTGGCTCAATAGTGTGTGAGCTGCATGGTTAATTGCTGCCAAAGATCTCAAAGTGGCACTGGGCTTGCAATCTGTGTGTTTGATACAGAAAAGACCAACAGAGGTCCTATCTCACCCATAGCCAGTAGGGCAAAGGCAACTGAGCCATTCCCTTCCTTATCGAGCCATACTGTACATTGGAGTCCTTGTAAGATAGTATCCCAAAAGCAACTGGAACTTGAGTTTATAAATTTATAATTTTCAAAGCCAATGGAGATGTATATAACTACTGAATTAAATTTATCCTGCCCAATAGAATGAAAGATTAACTAACTGTAGTAGCTACTTTTGTTGCCAGGGTCTCCACTGTGCTAGCTTTAGTAAGCAATTATAAAATGGCAATCGCAGAAACAGTAGCAGCATTGTGCATCATTATTATAACAGCAACAGCAACAGCAGCAAAGTCAAGCTCTCTTCTGAATTGTGTGGACATCCACTGGCATGGATACAACTCCAGGAAAATGAACTGCCAAGGCCCATTTTTCTTGATCCAAGCATGACTTTGGCTGTCAGCTCTTCTGGAGAATCCAATCTCATGGCTACAGTTCCTAGGCTTACATTAATGCTTGCCAAAGCTGGCCATATTGGGCTCTCAATCTCCATTGGCATCAGAAGGGTAGATTTTTTTCATGATGACCCATTAGGTCTCTGTCATGCTGGGCTTCAGCAGCAGCCACAGGACATGTTCAGTGCTCAGGAATCCAAAGAGGAACCTCATTGGCCTGAGGAAAGACATAAACCAAACTCTGGGGCCCTGAACTGCAGGTCCCTGCCCCCCGTTTTGGGTAACTGTTGCCTTGCTTGCAGACCTTGACCTTAATATCTTCCCAATGCTAATTCCCTGCCAGGTTCCACCCTCCTGAATGCTTAAGTGAAGTTCCTTGTCTGTGTATCCTGAATAATGGGTGTTAACAGCTTAGATGCAGGATTGTAAAACATCAGTAGCAAACTTCTGCCCTCCGGGGTCCTCCCATTGTGCTATAAGCCTGTAATTAAGACCTCTAATCCCCTTCAATAAATGGCATTCAACATTGAAAATTATATATATTTGAATGAATACTGCAAATGTAATCTATGAACACCACAAATGTGAATAATATCATGAGTGTAATTTAAAAAAATAAAAAAAATTATATATATATATATATATATATATATATGGGTTAATTTAGGTTATAAGAACTAGTTAGGAACAAGACTAAACTAAGGCAGAGCTTTTATAATTAATAATAAGTCTCCATGTCATTTTTTGTGTCTTAGTAGTCCAAAGAAAAATCTGTCTACAAAAAAAATAAATAAAATAAAATAAATAACCAGGCACATCCCTCACATAAAGAGTGAACAAGACAACCCAGTAGGAGTAAAAGGTTCCCCAAAGCAGGCAAAAAAATTCAGAAACAATACCTGACTCGACTATTAGTAATCCTATAGGAGTCCCAAGCTACACAAACATAATATGTATACAGAGTACATCGGTCAGACCAATATAGATTCCTGAGAGTTTGGTCAGTCTCTGTGATCCCCTAGGGGCCCTGCTTAGTTGATTCTGTGAGCCATTTTCTTGTGGGGTCATGACCACTCTGGCTCATACACTCCTTCCTTGGACTCATCTGCTGGTTTCACAGAACTCCACCTAATGATTTGTTGTGGGACTCTGTTCCTGGTCACATCAATTGATGGTTGAAGCCTCTCTGATGACGATTGTGTTAGACACCAGTCTGGTAACATAAGATGTCTAGTTTAGTTTCCATACACTCCATTACAAGGAGGGTTTCTGAGGGTCATCCTCATGGATTCCTGGGAGTTTCTGTGGCAATGGGTTTCTACCTCACCACTCTAATATCTCCAAATTCCAGTCTCCTCTTCTAGTACTCTCTCCATCCATTCCCCACATAATTCCTCTCCATCCCATCCCAACTTGTCCCTAGTACATCTGTGAAATCTCTTCTACTTCCCTTCTCAGGGAAATTTATGTCACCCTTGGTCCCTCCTTGTTACTTAGAATCGCTGGATCTGTGGATTGTAGCATGGATATCATTTATTTACAGCTAATATCCACTTACAAGTGATTCTATATTGTGTTTGTCTTTCTGTGTCTGGGTTACCTCACTCAGCATGATTTTTTTTAGTTCTATCCACTTGCCCAGAAATTTAATGGTGCCATCCCTTTTAATAGCTGAGTAATAATTCATTGTGTAAATATACGACATTTCCTTTATCCAGTAACTGATGGAAGCAGATGCAGAGATCCACAGCCAAGCACCAGGCTGAGCTCCAGGAGTCCAGTCAAAGAGAGGGAAGAGGGATTCTATGAGCAAGAGGCATCAAGATTATGATAGGGAAACCTACAGAGATAACTGAACCAAGCTAATGGTAACTCATGAACCTTAGAACAACAGCTATGGAGCTTCCTCTGGACTGGACTAGGCCCTCTGCATAAGTGAAACAGTTGTGTAGATTGATATGTTTAAGGGGCCCGTGGCAGTAGGATCAGCATCCATCCCTGGTGCCTGCATTGCCTTTTTGGAGCCAATCACCTATAACAGGACATCTTACACAGCCTTGATGCTGGGTGAAGGGCTTGCACCAGCCTCAACTGAATGTACCAGGTTTGCTGACTCCCCAAGGCCTTACCATTTCAGAGGAGGGAATGGGACATGAGCTGGGGGATTGAGGCTGAGGGAGACTTGGGAGGAGGTAGAAGAAGAAATCTGTCATTTGCATGGAAATGTATAAAAAATTTCGTAATAAAAATTTAAAAAAAATCATTACCTTTGAGGTTGAACTCAGCAGTACACTGAGAATCTCAAGGCTGAGATTTAGGACCAAGAAAGCATGCCCCTTGACCAGAAGCTGCAGCTATTGCCAGCAGAGGACAGAGGGTGGCTTCACCTTACATACTACAACTTACAGGAGTCTAACATGCACCTGGTGCTATGGCTGTGTGGTAGCATCAATAGCCATCCCTTCACCAGCCTAACCAAGAATAAAACTGTGACAAGAAGATGCAGTGCTGCTCACAAGTACTGCCCACCCCTGCACCAATTTATGGCTAACAATGGAAAGAAAGTGTCCACACCAATACTCTGTGCCCTAAGAGAGTCAAATAATACACATCCCTATTTGGTCCACGATCCCAGACACCATATAAACTTTTTGACCAAAGGAAAAGGACAAAGGAAAGTGGATATGTAAGTGTTGGGCCTGTTAGATGGCTCAGTGTATAGATGCCTGCTGCCAGCATTGAGGGTCGACAACTATTGACAGGATCCTTATTATACAAGGAGAAAACTGACCACTGAATTGTTTCTCTGAACTTGATGCCTGTGGCATATATTCAGGAGCACACACACACACACA